GGCGTGGGCTTTCGTAAGTTGCCCTGAACCATGGTGAGCAGCCGTCCAATGGCTGGTGAGTGTCTGCCTCACCCAGGAAGAGCGCAATGGTAATACCAACATAGGCCAGTGAAGCGACGTCCTCCACAACTGGACTGAAGAACAAAAGGACAGCAACTTATCTGTTCCCCTTCCCCGATTCCTCAATAAAATCTTATTAAAAATGTAAACATTATTCTTAGCTTGTGGGCCAGATTTGGCCAGACCATAGTTTACCAATCCCTGCTTTAGGTCATAGCTTAGATGTCACTTTCTAAGGAACCTTCTGTGTGTTCCTTATGCAGCCTGTATTTATTATTACTATTACTATTCCAAATTGTTACTACTCTAATATACAGAGCTTGTCTATACCTCCACATTAGATTGTAGGCTTTATAACGGTAGGGTCAGAATTATTCTGTTCCTAGTTAGATCCTTACCACCAAGCACAACACCTGGCATTTTTTTTTAGTATTATTATTTTATTGGAGAACAGCCATGATCATTGGTTACACATTGCTTTCATGCTACAATGGCATAGTTGACTCTTAGGGAGGGCGCAGATCACAGTGGCCCGTGCGGGGATCGAACCGGCAACTTTGGTGTTATCAGCATGACATTCTAACCCACTGAGCTAACCAGTCACCCCAACACCTGGCATTTTTAATTACTTAAGATGTTCCAGGTTTATCAGATATATCATTTTATTGAAAATAGAGATGTTATTGTTAACCTAGCTTATGTTTATTGAAAAAGAATAAAACAAATCAAATATGCCCTCCCCCCAAAAAAAATATGCCCTCCTATTATTTTAAAAAGTCTTTAGAACTTTTTGCAAGTTCTCTTTTTCTAAAATAAAACAATGACATAAAGAATTATTCCTTATAAAATTAGAGTTAGTATTGCTTAATGAGACTTGGGCTCAGAATAATAGGGGCTAAAAGTTTTTGTATAACAATTTTTTGCAAGATGAGAGTGGAAAAGGAAATATATATACTTACACATATACTTAAGTCTTTTTAGGTTTAGGGTTTGTGAGTTAGTGTTTTAAGTGCAACCTCAAATTATAAAATAAAATCCTCTGGTGTATGTGGTGGAGAGGAGGGGAAGGTAGAGGTGGAGAATGACAGATAAATGGTAGAAGTAGATAATTTTAGTGCCATATTAGTAAGTCCTGAAGATTTTTTTAGACCACTTAGCTATCATACTGGGATGATTTTGAGAGATGTTGAGGGGCCATGTAACTAGAGAACAGTTTTGTTCTATACTTAGTGTGGAAGAGCCATAAAATATCTCTTGTGAACTGATGGGGGTTATCACATGTGTTTTCTCTCTCTTATAACTCTGCTGCCTTGACTTTTCTTAGGTTTTGAGTAATAGTCATAATATTATGACTTGTAGAATGCTTAGTTTATGTCAGACATTGTGTAACGGGCTTTATTTACATGTGGTATTTAATCAGATCTCCATTTTACATTTGACACAATGTGCCAGAGAAGTTTGCCCCTGGGCCAACAACTGGTAAGTACTGATGGTGTAATGATTAGAGTCTAACTCCATGAATGATGAAGTCATGAATACTCCATAGCACTTAATGCTGGCATTTTCTGCTGCTCTGATAATCAGAATTATTCTGGTGTTTAGAAAATAAAGAATAAGGATTCAAACAAATGACCGTTGATATATTCCTCATTACTCTCTTTTACAGGGAAATTTAGGAACCTTTTTTATTACCAACGTGAGAATTGTATGGCATGCAAATATGAATGACAGTTTTAACGTCAGTATACCATACCTGCAAATTGTAAGTGCATGCATTTTGATGACCTAATTGTAATGTAGAATAAATAATTTTT